ACTGCCGCTATATGCGATATTGTGAGCTCTAAACACCCTTTGCCTCTCCTATTTTTCTTCCACCCAAGTCTCCCTCCAAGTTCAAAACGAACACCCCCCCCATCAACTAAATGAGCTCTCCAACCCTAAACCCCTAACCCAAAATTACAGCTCTGAAACTGGAACCGCATTTGTCATCAAAATATCACTAATGCTAACTTAAGGCTGACGACCTGCCACATGTGAGTACTAAGATGTCTCGTTTCAGCCCTTGTTAAAAAGGGTGTAAAGGAGGTTTATGAAGGCAGAGCCACATGCATCCTAAATGAAGTGATGTTCACTTCTCATTACAGTAAATGTGTTTTGATACTTTCATTCTCTGTACAGTTATGAACTATTGGAATCTAAACAAATCAAATTCTAAAGCCTTGACACAAAGGAGGAGTGCAGCCCTTGTGTGTGTTGCGCTTAATGTCACTCGTAGCCTGGTGAAAAATAAAATAAAATAATGTAAAGTCCACAAAGAAACGATATAATTTCAACTCATCCATTGTGGAGGGGAAACTGAAGTATAGACCCAAATTTTTCATGACTGTAATGAGTTAGATTTCAATTTCCAAACTTTGTAATGTATGACCAATAATTTTCTATATAATTGGTTATGGTAATTAATCCTTAAGACCCTGCATGATTTTAACTCAACCTTTTGCCAATTTAGTTAAGGGGTATAAGGAATAACTTTGTGCAACTAAAATTTACACAACAGGACCGAAGCATCAAAATACCATTCCTCTAAATGATGATGGATATTGAAGTCAAACAGCTAAGCATCATAACACAAAATGAACAAGATGAATACAACCCAGACTTGTAAATATACTGTAGCACATAGGAAAATTAAAACGAAGACTTATCAGGTGGCACTGCTGGGGGTCTAATTGCAGTCAGATGCAGTTGTAGAATGATCTCCAGATCACTCACAAACAGATAGAGAGGGAAAGAAAACTGGCTCGATTGCAGAGCCTTCTCTTCTTCGCTCCCTACAATAGAGATATTACGGGACTATTTATGAGGATTCCAGTGAGAGCACGAAAGTCTTGCACCCGATTCCAAATTTCCCCACCATGTTTCCTTTCTAAGTACTTACAATATCTAAGCGGAAAGATAGCATGAATACTTACCTGCATGCTATGAATCCACCATGGCAACCTGCAGCCTTGCTCGAAGTCCCAACACAAATGTCAACAAGTTTTCACTGCGGAATAACTCAAGAGGACCTACATCATCAATAACCAACAGAAAGCCATGCTCGTTGCGTAACTTCACAACCTCAACCATTGGTGCAAAGTCTCCGTCCATATTAAACAAGCTGTAGTGAAGACACATACAAGCCATAAGAAATATAAGAAATAAAATCAAATAGGAATACTTTATATGAATGTAAATTTGATTCCAACAGAAACGATGGTACAGAAAGTAGCATTTAAAAACAGCGACACTTGCCTATCAGTCACGACGACTTTCTTCCTCATTGTGCAACTTGATCTGTCACACAAAATTTTCTAAGCTAAGGCCACAATGAAGTACATATCCAATAAGAAGAGTCACACAAATTTAAAACAATAGTTTAAGACCTACAACAATGCATTAAGGTGAGTCATGTCGCAATGTCTCTATAGATGAATATCCCTACAGATTTTTGTCGTCCAGCAAGACGAATACCATCAATTTTTGACGCATGGTTCAGTACATCAGAAAAAATGGCAATTTTTTCATTAGTTAAAGGTGTTTTTCCAGCAGCCAAGAGAGAGCCAACATTTCCCAAAGAAGGCAATATTGGCTGCAAATCCTCTGGGACAAAGAAGGCAATCCTAAGGAATAAATTGTTGGTGTGAGTCAAAGTCAACGTTCATATTAGGAATAGAATTTGTATTTTATTGTAATTATTTAATTTGAGTGGAATTAAGAGATTTTGTATATATTTCCTATTTGTACCCACTCTGTAAGTAGTATATATATTCCTCATTGAGAGATTAATAAACATATCATTTTAAACCCTAATTACTTTTTAATTAGTATTAGAGTGGGTTCCGATCCGTCTCTACAACATCAAAACCCTAATCCTAAAAAATACCTATTTCCGTTGCACCTAGCCTATACACCTAAACCTATGCCGCCTATACACCAAAGCTTGCGCCGTCTCATATCTCTTACTATCATTGTCGCCACTTGATCTTCTGCTGCCGCCGCCATCTATCACCATGTCGGATGTTACTGAATCTTCTTCTTCTATCCCTATTGTGACGGTTTGTACTGAATCAACCAATCTACCCATGTGATTCAAATTGAATGGATCCAACTATGAGATATGGGCTTTGATGATTGAACTTCATGCTACTACACAAGTCAAATTGGGTTACCTGACTAGCGACACTGATGCCTCTGATTCCCAAGATCCACAATTTGGGAAGTGGAAAATTGTTGATGCTACTGTAAAAAGTTGGATGTTGCGAACTATGGAACCTAGTTTTGTTTGGGCCTAAAAATTGACACACCCAGCCTAGCGAAAATGAGGCCCAGAATAAAGCTGCAAAAATCAAAGAAAGATGGAAGCCCAAAAACCAGAAGAGCCCAGCCCAAAGCTTATCAAAGCAAACAAGGCTAATCTGGGCCTCACAGGCCTGATATGATAAGAAGAGGGAGCCCAGAAACAGGAACAATCCCACGTGACATCTCTGGGATAAAGAAAAGTCAGCAATGGCAACTGTCATAGAAGAAGTGATTGAAAGGTTCATGACATCGAGTTGATTCTGAAAACCCTGAAGATCAAATCCCTCTTACATATATATGTTCAGAGATTTTTTCTTCTATTTTTACAGAGAAGGTAATTCTCCCAAGGAGATAAGCAAGTTACAATCTCAGAGAAGGATAAGCAGGAAAGCAGGGAGCTGTCCAGAAAA